TATAGGGATACAAACAGAGGACTTTGAAGCCTTATGTTGTATGACCGATCACCTTCTCCTATTTGTCATACAGGTCAAGAGAACGCAATAAGTATTGAGGCCTAGTAATCTTATCCTCCTATAGATCTGTTCAATATATCCGAGACGTACTAGTGTAATTCGTTAGTCAAAGATCAACTAACTCGAAAATCACAATACAACTTTTCACGACAGTTAGGTCAATTTTGTCTGTGTTGTGAAAAAATATTTATATTTCACAAAGAATTGATAATACGTTTTTTTCTGTTCGTCACAGTGAACCATATTATCTACAATGTAAATAAAGGAACTGTGTTCGTATAAATAATAAATTGTAAACACACACTTGACTAAACACATGAATCTCATTCAAAATGGTATTGTCAGAAATGAAAAGCCGAGCTTTTATAGTATACCCTGAATTCATGAATAACATACATTCTCTTTGAATCACAATGAGAAGGTTTGTCTTTCTCCCACAAATGTAGGCCATTGCTTAGACAATAGAGGTTGAACCTTGGATCCAAACACACAAGACTTGAAAAAAACCACATGAATAAAGTACACGTTACAAGATTATAGGGTACTATTTATGGGAACACATTCGCCTAAAATTTAAACTAATGGAGATTAGATTTTACAATCGTATGTAATTTTGTTCTTAGCTAAACTCTGACCTAGTCAATATTCGACAGTAGGAACTTTCAAACTTGTTTGTCTGAAAATGTTGTTCACCGGTTGTAGTTCTTCCACCAAATATTCTGAAGTTTACATTCAAGTCGATTCGAGACGAACTAGGGGAAAAAGCTGCCAAACGCAAAAAAAAATAAAAATGTAACCCACTAAAATACAGATTTCTTGTTGTTAGATTTAATTTGATCTTATTAGCTAACAGAATAAGGTGGAATAGAAGAGAATTTCAAGGTATACCGTGGAAGAGGGACGATTAATCAAACAACGTAAGTTGCAACCGAGGTCCTCCCAAACCATAGGTATCAAATGGAAATGAAAAAATGAAGAGGGAAATGTGAAACTAGGGGTCGTGGCGGCAAAAAAGTAAATGACAAAAACAAATGCAAATGGATGATAAGGTATACCACACTATGGTCTGGATTTCTAATGAAGAAAACCTGGTAGTAATTGACGGACTTTGCTCATATGATGGGATTCTTCCTAACCAACCCAACAAATAGAATTAGTATTAAAATTGAGATATCACTCCTTATCAAGGCTATCAAACTGACAGTGACGGTATAACAAGAATATTAAAATGGAGATATCACTCCTTATCAAGATCATATTTGTCATACTTCTATACTTTAGATTGATACATAACTACTGTAGAACCCGTGCAATGCACGGGGTGGACAGTTTTAAAATTATTATCCAGCCTTATTATTATATTTGTGAATAAAGATAATTAAATAAATAAGAAAAATAAACCATTATATATTATTAAAATCTCCTTGTAGACAACATTTTCTGTTTGCCTCGTAGGCACACCATCTTTCCCGCAAACAATATTTTCTAACCCTTTCGATTAGTGACACAAAGCTACATACAATGGTCATGACTGAACACCGACTTCGAGGACATGCCAACATGTGATAAAGATTGGCTTTGAATCTTGTTAATCGTCATGGCATAAGAAACTATTAGGGAAAACTGTCTCCGCTGAAATTTGAAAGGTACTCTAACATTGGAAGGTGTAGACTCATCCGAGGTATTAACATCATGGTTCTGAAAACCGAACCGGTCATTGAACCGGTAAAGCTATCGGTTCAATGGTTCACTGGTCGGACCAGTCGTCGAACCAATCTAATTAATATATAATTTTTATTTATTTTATATGTATAATATATAATTATATATACTTTTATCAGTAATTTTATAGTATACAGTGACGTTTGTCTAAATAAATAAATGAAAAAATAAATAAAAAATTTTCCATATTCTAACTATATATTAATTCTTTTAGCTACCATGCCTAATTATGTAGGCATATATGATTATATGTTACAATTTTATTGTTGTGTAGGCTTATAAGTAGTAGGTTGGTAACTAAGCAACTAAATAAAACAATATTAGTTAATAAAGAGAGCATTAAACAATAATTGTAAACATCCCATATATAGGTATATTTAAAGCCCATAACATATGGTGGCGAATTGGTTAAAATCCAATAAATTTAACCAATTTATTACTAACTGGTTAAATCCAATCTATATATATATAATAAGAATTAACATTTACCATAAATAGTAGTAAGGAAAAGTCAAGCACATTTATTATATACTATTTTCAGCAACTTTTACATTTTACATGTTAATTTTAATTATTATCAAAAAATTGGATGGTTCCTAAATTAATGGGTTTTAAATGCACGTATCATGTTTCAAAAATTATAAATCATTTAAAATCGGAGGGTTCATAAATTAATGGTTACAAACTTTTCAAAGTTGTAATCTTTATGGCATCTTTTCTTTTTGACTTTTAATAATAAAATTATTATATATATATATATTCTAATCCAAAAATTCAATCATATTAAATATATATATATTGAACGCTAAAAATATTTTTTAAATTGCATACCCAATCAATTAATCTTAATTTTTTTAAAATTACTATGTTTATTTTTTATTAATATGCATAAAATAAAAATAAATAGTTCATCTTTGGATATATAATTTATAATCTTAATATACTATCATTTGGTGTAGACATATTAATCATAAAATATTTTTATTTCATAAAATTAAATATTATATTTAAAGAAAATAAGGAAATTACTTTGGATCAATCGGGTGATTGAATTAGGGTACTGCCCACTTTGATTGAATTACTTTTAGATGATATTTAAAATAGTCAAAAAACTTGACATAACTTGGTTGGTCCGAGGTAATTAAGTTATGTATCAGTTTGACCAGACCAAATTGATTATTGAACCTAAATAAAAATTTTAATATTGAAAATACTTTATTACGTGAATGTGATGTAGTCCAAACTTCAAATAATCATATTAACAATACTTTTATGACAACATGATTAATGATTTATGAATATTTATATATCATTTTATTATTATTTATGTGAACAAAATATTTATTTCATTATCATTTTTATTAATGTACGGTAAATATAAGGTTTTCAGAATCGGACCGTCTTGTGGTTGTTCAGATTTTAATACATAATACTTTAATATATATATGTATAGTACTTTTTGTAATAAATTTAAATAAAAAGTGTTACTTAAATATCTAAACAATTTATAAATTCAAATGTTTAAACTAATTGATAAACAATTTATAAATCTCTGTTTTAATTAAATATGTATATTTATTTAAAATAATTCTTCATGTAAGAAAATTTGTTTAGAAAATTGTATCGATCTTACCAGTCCAACATACTGGTGTTGGCGGATTCGATAGCAAATATTTTATTCAAGCGCACTAAATCGGTTATAAACCGGTTCTCGGTCCATCCGGTCGGACTGTGTCCAATCCGATTTAATTTATAAATAATGGGTAAATCATGATTAATGTTATTTATTTATTTAATTTATAATACAATCAAAATATTATTTTCCCGTGCATCGCATGGGCCACGTACTAGTAAAATGTAAACAAAAGCAGTTTCTTTTGATTTGGTCAAAATCCAATAACATGTAAAATCCAATATATTTAAGGTCCGTAATCATTGATTCGAATAAGCCCCAATAAAGTCCAGTTTCTTTTGCAAGCAAATACATTGTAAACATCCCACATCGAAAGCAGTAAACGAAAATTTCAGCTATTTAAGTGATTGTACAACCACTTCTTCCTAGAGCAATAATTAAACCGTTGGACCGCATGGACCGCTATTGATTTTCCAATTTTGCCCGGTTTTAGCCGGTTTCTTGCCAAGCGGTTCCAGTTTTCAAACCAAACTGGAGTAATGGCCAGTTCCCGGTCGAATCGGCCTGTACGGTCCGGTTTTCAGAACATTGATTAACATCACCTCTCATGCATTAGATCCAGTTATACCTTACATTCAAGCACATTAGTGAAGAGCTTTGTGATAAACAATCTCCTACCATTGTATAACACCCTACAATTGTCAATGTTCCGCAACAACATGTCTAGGGTTCCTATCTTAAGATTCAACTCATGGTTCAGTCATACCTTACATTCAAGCACATTAGTGAAGAGTTTTGTGACAAACAATCTCGTACCATTGCATAACTCCCTACAATTGTCAATGTTCCGCAACAACAGATTAGGATTCCTATCCTAAGATTCAACTCATGGTTCGACACTACAGAGCATCTAATAGTATTTAAAAATTCGGGGGTGTGATGATCAGACAAAAAAACATTATTGGAATCAGATTTGCACGTATTATCAGAGCTCAAGTATGCTTGACCATCAGTCACGTTCAAAGGCGCCATGTATTATACATAGACTCAACCACCTCCAAAGTTGGAGCTAGCACAGCCCTATCCTTCAAATAACTGGAATCATCGGTTGCATCCCTAAACATTGGATAGGTGCTCTCAACAATCCCAGCGATATTATCATCGGTGGACTCCAACAATATGTCATCAGGTATGTCTATCAAGGCACATCCATCATTGGATCGCTCAATGGTTCCATTTCCGATGCTTGTTATCCAATTAACAAAAGTTGTCAGCTCCCCGTGCTCATCCGAATCACCAATGTTCTGAAGGAGCATATTTTTTGTAAGCCTCAACACAGTACATTCAGCCCATATGTGGGTAGAATTAATTGTAGTATTCACCATATCCTGACAACCCCCCTTTGAAATAATCGAGAGGATCTGTCAGAAGGCCTCATCGTGAAATAGGATTTTCATGTAATTCTTATATTCAACCTCGAATTTATGTTCAATTATTCGAATCGTACGCAACTTACTTGGTACCTTTTTGGTTCTAGTGAAATCTTTGATCAGACCGAAGTCGCACCTCATATTGAATTGAATAAAATAAGTATAAATCGTGTATTTGTGTAATAAAAAATTAAGACGAAAGCAGGATGAGTAGGAAACATCAATCCACATTGAGTTTATAGAGGAATAAGAACAAAGTATATTTTAGATCAATTCAATAAATATTTGATATGAAAATAATTTAACAAACGCAATAAGTTTCCTATGATTCATGTCAATTTTTAAACGTGTGCAAATAACACTTATTCTATTTTGTAATGACAAAGATTTACTTTGTGTAATTCACACACTTTTTTGGTCCATCTAATACTATTATATTTTTTTCGTATTTTTTATTTATATATTGCAAACAAATCAATTGGCGATTTCCAATGTGGTTATGTAATATTTGATTTTGAGATTTTTTGGCAATAATATTTTAGTTATTTGCTAATCAATTAATAATTTGATTATATCGGGTATATTAAATCAAATCGACAACATCGAATTTTTTTTATGTAGATATCTCGTATTTTTTTTGTTGTTGTTTCATTAATTATTTTTTTCAATAAAC